GAGAAAATACGTGCCGTGCACCCGGCTCAACGAGAGCTGCGTAACATATGGTCCTTCGAGCACGGATATTCAGTCCGGTCTCGTGCAAAGGCATTCAAAGTTCACAAGGGCGTGAACTGAAGCGAAGATCGAGAATACACGCCTCATTCGCCATTGATGGTGACGAGTCTGTTCAAGGAAAGTAATTTGCGTACAAGGCAAAGGCGCATCAAGCATTACACATTGCAAAGCATAAGGACAACGGCTAAGATACATAGCCACCAGGTGAGTCTCCGTTGCCCATCCCATCCATTTACAGTCCATTTCCTTCATATCGAGTTCTTCAAAGATGGCGGAACAAGAATTCGCACAACGTGCCGCAAAGACGAAACGGTCGCAAGCAAAGGCCGCGTGTACGCGCGGGAAGACGTTCGTGGACGAAACAGGCGACAAACCCGTGTCGGTAATCGAATTGCGACAGAGACAAGCAAAGTTTCGCGAGTGTTGGCAATCATTCGAAGACGCGCAGTCCGACATCGAGATGTTTGAAAACGCGAACGAGCAGGAAATCGTGAATAACGCAGAGCGTCAATCGTTCGAGGAGAAATATTTCGAGGTCGACGCGAGGTTCGAGGAGCTTATAATCGAGCGTACACCAGAAACGGGCGCTGCCGGCCCCAATCCGTTCGACATGTTTCGAGTGCCGGGTAATCGCGATAACCCTCCGCAAGTCCACGCCAATATGAAGTTACCGCGAATTGACCTTCCTACGTTTTCGGGTTCGTACGAGGATTGGTATCCATTTCATGATGTGTTTCATTCGATGATACATACGAACACTACATTACCGACCGTACAAAAGATGCATTATCTGCGATCATCTCTCAAAGACGAAGCGGCAGACGTTATTAGTTCATTAGATATAGCGGCCGAAAATTACGAAGAAGCATGGGCGATGTTAAAAGAGCGATATGATGACCAGCGGGCTATAATGCAGAAGCACATTAAAGCGATATTCGGACAGTCAGTGTTGCATAAGGAAAATCATGCTGAACTGAGGCATCTTTTGGATAATGTATTAAAGCATTTGCGAGCGTTAAAGGTATTAAAACGTCCTGTCGACCAATGGGACGATCTTATTATTTACGTAATTACAACTAAATTGCCGCCGGCCACAAACAAAGAATGGGAGACTAGCCTCAAAGATTCAAATATTCCGACTCTCAAACAATTAACGGATTTTTTGGCTCACAGGTGTCGTACACTAGAAGCGGTTGATAGGAATCCTCAAAGCCCCGCATCGTCTAATAGCGTTGGTAAGACAAATACAAAGAAGTCTACTGTAGCAAACGTAGCAACTGGCAATTCAGGATGTGTCCTTTGCAAGGGCGATCATCCTATCGTTCTTTGTGGCAAATTTCTCGGGTTCTCAGTCGACAAGCGTTTTCAAGAAGTCAAAACCCTCAAGCTGTGCTTAAATTGTCTCAAATCCACAGATCATCGAGCGAAGAATTGCAACGCCGGCTCATGTAAGAAGTGTAGTAAGAGGCACAATACTTTATTACACATGGAATCAACCCCGCAAGCGAAGGAAACTGAAACGAAGTCCACGGATGTGGTTGCCTCTGTGCAATCAGCATCATTAACGAGCGTAAATCACGTCACACGGTTGTCAGGGCAGCATGTCTTACTGTCCACAGCAATCATTCACGTTCAGGATAATAAAGGAAGTATTCTACCGTGTCGAGCTATTCTCGATGCTGGCTCGCAAGCGAACTTCGTGACATCAGAACTAGTCGAAAAGCTCGGGCTCAAGCGACATCCTACCTCTGTGCCAATAAGCGGAGTGGGAGAATCGAGCACTGAAACGCATAGCTACGTTAACATAATGGTGCAGTCTCGTTTCAACGGCTTCAAGGTAGAACTCAGATGCCTTGTGCTGCGTAAGATTGTACAGGACATTCCAAATACACCAATGAGAAGATTGGACATTCGCGTTCCACCAGGAATCAAGTTAGCGGATCCCAATTTTATGGAGACATCAAAGATAGACATACTCATAGGAGCAGGACTTTTTTGGGATCTCCTCTGTGTAGGTCAGATAAGGACCACACCAGATCAGCCACGTTGGCAGAAAACACAATTCGGCTGGATCGCAGGAGGTGAAATCAGCACAAGAAAGACGCAGTCCGAAGCAACGATCTGCAATCTTATCACCAACGAAGCACTCGATAATGCTATAGCGAAATTTTGGGAAATCGAGCATGGCGCGCGGAAGATCAAGATGTCAGCAGAGGATCGTAAGTGCGTAGAGCATTTTAAGTCAACGGTCAAAAGAAATTCGACGGGCAGATTTATAGTCAAGCTCCCGATCAAGCACGAAGAATTAGCGCGGCTCGGTCAATCAAAGGACATTGCTACACGACAATTTATAAATCTCGAACGCCGTCTAAATCGTAATCCGTCGCTCAAAAAGGATTACACGGACTTCATCCATGAATACGAAGCGTTGGGGCATTTGAGAGAGGTGCAAGGTCAAGATATAGAAACCTTCCCGCACTGCTATTTGCCTCACCATTGCGTGATCAAAGAAGAGAGTGATACGACCAAACTAAGGGTTGTATTCAACGCCTCGTGCAAAACGACAACGGGCGTTTCACTTAATGACTGCCTGATGGTCGGGCCCTCACTGCAGCAGGATCTCTTTTTTATTATTTCAAGATTTCGTACGTTTGAATTTGTTTTAGTTGCAGATATAACAAAGATGTACCGCCAGGTGCTGGTCGACGAATCACAGGTATCTTTGCAACGTATCCTGTGGCGCGACACTCCGGATGGTCCGATAAGAGTGCTAGAATTATTAACAGTCACGTATGGCACTGGCGCAGCAGCCTTTCTTGCCATTAAGTCAATCAGAACACTGGCAGAGATTGAAGCAAAGAACTTCCCGATTGGATCGAAAATCGTGTTGCGGGACTTTGACGTCGACGATCTCATTACTGGGGCAAACACGAAGGAAGCAGCACTGCAAGTTCGTGATGAGACTACAAAGCTTCTTGAAAAAGGTGGTTTCGTATTACGTAAATGGGCTTCCAACAGTCCTGATCTGCTTGTTAATCTTCCTGACTCTTCCATGATGAATTCAACACGAACATTGGACAAAGAAGGTATGTGCAAAACATTGGGCATTCAATGGAATCCAAAGGATGATGTATTGCTGTATCGAATACAAATCAAAGCGGACACTAATCAGCGCGTGACAAAGAGAACAATTTTGTCATGTGTCGCACAGATATTTGATCCCTTAGGTCTTCTTGGACCGGTCATAATACTTGCAAAAATGTTGATTCAACGATTATGGACATTGCAGCTCGGCTGGGATGAATCTTTGCCCGCAGAGTTGCACACGCAATGGAGTAACTACAAATCGCAACTTAGCCAGTTGAATGATATTCGCATTTCCCGCAGAGCAGTCGAAGTTAAATCAAGCACACGCATTGAGCTGCACGGGTTTTGCGACGCGACTCAAAATGCATATGGAGCATGCATATACTTACGCACTACAAATCAAAGAAGAGTGCATACTACGAAGCTATTATGCGCGAAGTCACGAGTAGCACCCCTGAAAGCCGTGTCTTTGCCTCGATTAGAGCTAAGCGCTGCGCAACTGTTGGCGCAACTAACCGACAAAGTCGTTCCTATTTTGGAATTGAAGATTGACGCAGTATACCTTTGGACAGATTCTCAAATAGTTTTGGATTGGATCAACTCCTCAAGTCGAAGATTCAACACTTTCGTTGCCAATAGAGTGGGTGACATACAAGAGCTCACATCGGTTCAAAGCTGGTCTCACGTAGGTACCGAATGTAACCCTGCAGATATTCTATCGCGTGGAGCCACTCCTTCTGTTCTCAAGGACGCAGATCTATGGTGGAATGGTCCATCGTGGTTGCGCGACGACGAATCCTCATGGCCTAAAGTCGTACGATCTTCAGTCAATGCGGAAGAGCTACCTGAGCAGCAAAAGACAATCGTAGTCACTTCTACTTCACATGAAGAATTCGACATCATCGATAGATTTTCGTCATATGTTCGATTGATTAAAACGATTGCGAGGTGTCTTCGTTTCGTGCATAACGCAAGATCCAAACCGAATGATCGTAGGTTCGATTCCATTTCCGCTCAAGAATTGGAAGTATCTCAAAGGCTTATCATTAGAAGAATACAGCGATTAATATTTCACATGGAAATTGAAGCTATCGAAAATCAAAGACCAATTAGGAGAGATAGTCGTTTGCTTGCTTTGAACCCCTTTTTAGATCACGAAGGATTATTAAGAGTTGGTGGACGTCTGAAAAATGCTAATATCTCCTATGAAATCAAGCATCAGCTGATATTACCAGCACGTCATCGGCTCACTCGTCTCATTATTGAGCAAGAGCATAAAAGATTACTACATGCAGGACCTCAGGCCACTTTGGCAGCTATAAGAGAACGTTATTGGCCTCTGAGTGCTAGAGGGATTGTTCGCGAAGTTGTGCATAAGTGTATCATCTGTGTCAAAGCTAGGCCCCGTATATCTAAACAAATTATGGGCGACCTTCCGGCCACTCGTGTGCCTCCCGCTCGGCCATTTCATAATACAGGTGTCGATTATTGCGGTCCCATATTTCTTCGAGAGGGAAAGCGAAGAAACGCAAGAAAATCTAAGGCTTGGACTGCAGTATTTGTTTGTTTCGTCACGAAAGCGGTTCATATCGAGGTTGTATCGGATTTAACCACAGAAGGATTTTTAAGTGCATTAAAACGTTTCATTGGTCGACGAGGAAGACCAGCTAACATATATTCGGATAATGGAACTAATTTCGTGGGAGCCAATCGCGAATTAGAAGAATTGCGGACTTTATTTAATCGAGAAGAGTTTCGGCATAACATCACCAACAAGATGGCAGAAGATGCTATTACTTGGCATTTTATTCCTCCTCGCGCACCTCATTTCGGTGGATTGTGGGAATCTGCAGTTCGCTCCACTAAACACCATTTAATTGGAGTTTCCGCCGATGGATCGTTGACATTTGAGGAGGCAGTCACATTATTATCGCAAATCGAAGCGATATTAAACTCGAGACCCTTAACTCCTTTATCTTCTGATCCCTTGGATCACTCCTATCTAACCCCTGGGCACTTTTTAATTGGAGACTCACTTATTTCGTATCCAGAGCCTACATTACAGGATTTGCCAGTAAATCGCTTATCTCGCTGGCAGCGTATCGAACAAATGCGTCAGCAATTTTGGAGGCAATGGTCAGCTGATTATCTCAATACATTACAACAGCGATCCAAATGGAAGCAAACTATAGGGCCTCAACTTCAAGTCGGTCAAATGGTGGTTGTACGAGAAAACGATTTACCCCCTTTGTCTTGGCTTACTGGTCGGATTGTTGAAGTTCATCCGGGAACTGATGGAATGATCAGAGCGGCCACTTTAAAAACCGCTAAAGGAACCCTTAAGCGACCTGCTTCTAGGATATGCATATTACCTATTGAAGTTTAGTTCTTTGTATACTCACATTTTATGTTTCAGATTGATAAGCATAGCCTATCAAGGCGCGCGGTATGTTTGGGCTGTTGATTTAAGATTTGAATTCTATTATGATGGCGCTGCCGCGCAAAGGATATAGCGCAAAGGGAACTAGCCCCCCTAGTAATAACGGATGTCGCCACATGTTCTCCAGAGGCGCTCGCTTCGTACCCACTAGCCCCAGTAGTACCACGTTGCCATGCGGCGTCGTCAGTACATTCAGTCAGTTGTCGTCAGTACATTGGCTCAGTCAGTCGTCGTCAGTCTGTCTCAGTGGACTGTCTCGGTCTGTCGAGAGTACATTATCTAAGTTTGTAAAGATCATATCGTAGAGCCAAAGTTTATTTGTACGAGCAATAAAAAATTTGTAAAACACGAAGCAAAGTCATTCTTTAGCGAAGCTGTATTCAAAGACGAGAAAATACGTGCCGTGCACCCGGCTCAACGAGAGCTGCGTAACATTCATTTTGACGGTATTTTTTAAACTTTCCTAGAATATTAGGCAATATTAAACAACGTTAGAAATATACCTACCGATAATACACATTAGCTGCAACTATAGGAGAATTCATCTTTTTTATTTACACAGTGAGAACCATTTGCCTATAGAAGATGTGGCAGCGTTAAAAGATTCGTTTCCAACAGTTAAGCATTTAACTATAGCTAAAATGAATTACAACTGGTCTGATATTCGGCTATGAATATCCATGTTTTCGTCGATCAAAGAACTTTCAGTCTCTTTTAATATTGTCATAACCATAGAAGACATAACGGTAAATACTAATTTAATGAGAATAATTACATTAATATTCGAAGGAAATCTAATATCAAATTAGGATGATTACCTATTTCCTTTATTTGCTAAAAAAACATGAAATTTATATTTTATATAATACTTAAAAAGATCTCTTTTTTACAGCTTAGAATATCTTAATTTGAATTTAATTAAAATAGATAGAATTAGATTTCCATCTTCAACATCAACAGATAAGACTGCTTTGTTTCCAATGCTACGTCATCTACATACATATTTCAGAAAGCTACATATCAGAGGTAAAAAGTTAGGTTTTCATAGATAGCATTGATGCAGTAAAAATTTTATATCAAAATTTTTAACTAAACCATTTAACATAAAATTTTAGTGGCAATCGATTAGCGAATTAGATAAATTATCAAATCTAGAAAACTTGAAATTCAGAGAAGATTCTATTTTGAAAAACGAAACTGTAGAGACTGCTCGACAATTGATAATCGCAAGGATAGCAAAATTAAAGATCTTAAATGGTACAGAGATACCTCATAATGAAAGAAGAGGCGCAGAGCACAATTATTTGAAATTGTCCTTACCAGTGTGGCTAGAAACCGAAAGTAATTGAGAAAAGCGAACATCGTTTATAAATGAACATCCTCGATATCCTATTTTAGTCAGTAGTATGTATGAATTTTACATTTCTTACAGTAAAAAATATTTTAAATGCAAAATAAAACATAGTTTCTTGAAAAATAAAAGAAAATATTTTACACTTTCAGAATATGTAATTGCGGATATTCCTTCAGCTAAACTGAAAGTGGAAATGGTTTCCAATGTGATGGGGGTGGAATTTGTATGTCCGGACGATCCACATCAATCTAGAGGGATTAAAAGGAAGTTACTTAAAGATGTGGAAATTCAAAAAATGATTGGGCTTGTTCAAAGGTTTTTTAAAACCGGTGGAAAGATTCCAGCTCTTAATATAATATAGTAATAACAATCAGATTAAATTCATTATTACTTATAACATGTTTTCGTTGTTTTTCTTATTTAGTCTGGCAATGTCAAATTTTCATGATTAAATTTTATATTCCAATGAAATATACATACCACTTGAATTAATTTGTTGAAATAAAAATTATCCCAAATATAACTTGCATATTATTGGTTACGTCTTCGATATGAATCCATAGATGTACGGTGCATCTAAAAGCAAGACCACTCACTGAGCCACTAAGTAGTAATTAAGTGTGATTGGTTGGAGCCAAAAATAGGAACCAATCACATTCAATTGCTATTTAGCGGCTTAATGAGTGCGCTTCTGGATTCACCCATTTATAACACATTTGATTACAACTTCAAGTTATTAATATTGATTTTCATCGTTGCTAGGTAAATTAAAGACAGGAGTCACTAAATAACAATTTGCAATTGTTTTTCATCAAATGTACACGAAGAGGCGAAGGAGATGGCATAAAATTGAGGAACTCTATACAAAAGGTAAATTAAACAATTTATAATTTACTCTCTCTCTATCTGATAATACTCTCCTTCATACTTTCTCCCTCTCTTTCTCCTTTACTCTTTCCCTCTCCCTCTCTGTCTCCGTCTTTGTCTTTCCCTCTTTCCCTCC